TTTTTTTTTTTTTTTTTTGTATTTTATAGTAGAGTTTCGTATATATCAGGACTTTTTGCTCATATTTTTCTTTTGGAACTTTAAAATTACAACAATGTCAATATATATTGTTGATATATTTTAAAATTTAAAACTTTCAATTAATAATTATTATTTTCTTCTTATGTGATACATCAAACTGGTAATCTTTTGTAGTTTGTGTGGTTTGTGAATATAAAAAAGACGACTTAAGGAGAATGAAGGAAATGAAACAAAAATCAAAGTCGAGACATGTAATAATTACGTTCTCTTTAAGACGAAATTGCCCGTAAAATACGCACGGTTAACGGCAAACACCTCCAAGATACAACGACTTTCAACTTGTATATAGCGGTTTTTCAAATATACAAGACTTCGGCGAATACTACTATTGTTTGGACTCTCAAGTCTCAATAAAAAATGTCAAAGAACACAATATATATGCTATATGATCTTTGAAAAGTAATGAAACTTAGAATTGATTTCTCATTCACCTTAAAATGATTTTGAAAAATTTCTAAGTCTTCCACTTACAAAAAATGGAACCGTAAAATCGGTACAAAACTATTTTTTCTTACATCTTATTCTTCTTCGTCTTTCTTTTTTGTTGTGTTGAGTTGGATGTTGAGTATCAAATTGATCATCTTTTAATGTTATTCGGTTTGACATAAATTACAATATCTAACGAAGAGCAATATTTCATGAATTCTTACATCTTATTCTTCTTCATCTTTCTTTTTGGTGGGTTGAGTTTGATTTTGAGTATCAAATTGATCATTTTTTACGTTATTCGGTTTGACCCAAAATTCTATGGAGCAATCGGATGGTTTTCTAATGGAGTCATCCATCACTAATATATTGACACTTGTCCATATTGTATTTCTGGTAGGACACTTGTCAATACACTATTGGTGAATAAGTGTGGATGACTCCATAAGTCGAGTCATTTGATGGCTCCATAACAAAACTGTCGGTTTGGCATACTTTTATAATTAAAATTATATATCTAACTAATAGCAATATCTCATGATGTAAAATAATAAGACTATTATTTGTTAATTAAACAAAAGTATCTACCATTAATATCGTACAATATAAGTTACAAATTTTATTAAAATATACGATGAGTGAGACTTGTAAGTAATTAGAGTCATTTTAAATAAAACCGCAATGAATTTTTTTAAGAAGTATTTAAAATTTTAAAATAAAAATTTCAATTTTCATAATTTTGAAACAATTCAGTTAACATCCTTGTATTACACGAGTGTTGTATCACCACCAAGAATATATAAATGTAGAGTCCAATATATGTGGATTTGGAATTTACACATATAAATTACGAGATTTAAACTAATAAATTCAATTATAAAAACTATATTTCAAAATTTAAGAATTCTTTTATTTGTTGTCCATATAATACAATTATAAAAAATATTTCAAGACCTTTTTAACATTCATTTTGGTGGTAATTAAGGTGCCCGCCGACCATCATCTACTCTATAATTTGAA